TCCTGGTCTCCCATGGGGTGCAGGGCCCAAGGACTTGGGCCACCTTCCACTGCACTCCCAGGCCACAGCAGAGAGCTGGACTGGAAGAGGGGCAACCGGCACAGAACCGGCGCCCCAACCGGGACTAGAACCCAGGGTGCCGGCACCGCAGGTGGAGGATTAGCCTAGTGAGCTGCGGCACCCGCCCATTTTCTCTTTATTTAAAGAGCGCAGCAGTAGCATCACATTCTGTCCAGACCTTCAGTCAACAGTCTGGGGTACCTAAACCTGGAACACCCTATGAAGGCTTATGCTCCTGCAGGACTCTGGGGCTTGAGTTCCAAACGTACCTTTGCATTGAGGAGACAGAGATGGGGCATGGGAACCATGGCCTTGGAAATGGAATCTGTTTAAGTGGGCCAAGTGTTCTACAAAAATCAGGATTTCAGGGCTGGTCTTGTGGCACAGTGGGATAAGCAACTGCTTACAATGCCGACATCCCACAGGAGAGCGCCAGTTCGAGTTCTGGCTGCTCTGCTTCCAATCCAGCTCCCTGTTAATGTGCCTGGGAAAGCAATGGAGATGGCCCAGGTCCTTGGGCCCCTGCACCCACGTGGGAGACTCTCCACATTTCTGGATTTCTGGTTTCAGCCTGGCCCAGTCCCAGCTATTGTGTCCATGTGGACAATGAACCAGTGGACGGGAGATCTCTGCCTCTCACTATCACTCTAACTTTCAAATAGACAAACAAAAAAAATCTTTTATTTATTTATTTGACAGGCAGAGTGGACAGTGAGAGACAGAGACAGAGACAGAGAGAAAGGTCTTCCTTTTCCATTGGTTTACCCTCCAGTGACCGCTGCGGCTGGTGCGCTGCGGCCAGCGCACCGTGCTGATCCGAAGCCAGGAGCCAGGTGCTTCTCCTGGTCTCCCATGGGGTGCAGGGCCCAAGGACTTGGGCCATCCTCCACTGCACTCCGGGCCACAGCAGAGAGCTGGACTGGAAGAAGAACAACCGGGACAGAATCCGGTGCTCCAACTGGGACTAGAACCCAGGGTTCTGGTGCCATAGGCGGAGGATTAGCCTATTGAGCCACGATGCCAGCCCAAAAAAATCTTTAAAATTAAAAAATCAGGATTTCTCTTCATGGATGGAATACAAAGATGGTAAAAAACAAAGAGGTTAGACAGTTTAAAAAAAAAAAAAAAAAAAGACCAAAAAAGGAAAATGGAATTAGGAGTTGAAATACCCATGGAACAGAATCACACAAAGGAAGCTAGGATCAAGTTTATTTATTTAGAATGCGGGGTGAATCCCTCACTGGTGACTGGAACTCTGGGCCTGCACCTTCTCCTTAGGCAGGTGGGCTGGGTCGGAGTGGGCTGTGTTTGGCCCAGGCTGTGGCAGTTTGGGATCTGGGTAGATGAGCAGAATTGGTTTTCTGAGACTGTGGCTCTTGACACCCACCAGAACCCATCCATGTCTCTTCTTCAACTCTCCAAGCCCCACCCCCACCCCTAAGTGGGTGTCCCCATTTTTCTTTACCGCCTCTCACCTGCCTGACTCCCCAGCTGGGCCTCAGGCCGGTCTCCCCAGAGCAGATGCCTGGGATCATTGAGGAACCGTTGGCTGCGCTGACATGTTAGGCAGGTCTGGACTGTCCAGCGCTGTCCCTTGCAGCCTGGGATGAAAGTGAGAGAAAGGAAGAGTGCTAAATTTAGAAGAAAAGGTCTCTTGCAACCAGTTTTGCCTCCATTATTATTATTATTTTAAATTTATTTGAGGGGCGGCACCATGGCTCACTTGGTCAATCCTCTGCCTATGGCACTAGCATCCCATATGGGCGCTGGGTTCTAGTCCCGGTTGCTCCTCGTCCAGTCCAGCTCTCTGCTGTGGCCTGGGAGGGCAGTGGAGGATAGCCCAGGTGCTTAGGTCCTTGAACCTGCATGGGAGACCAGGAAGAAGCACCTGGCTTTGGATTGGCGCAACGCTGGCCGTAGCGGCCATTTGGGGAGTGAACCAATGGAAGGAAGACCTTTCTCTCTGTTTCTCTCTCTCACTGTCTATAACTCTGTCAAATTAAAAAATAAATAAATAAAAAAATTTATCCGAAAGGCAGAGTTACAGAGAGAGGAGAGACAGAGGTCTTCTACCTGCTGCTTCACTCCCTGGACATTGGCCCCAAGGGCCAGACGTAAGCCATGAGCCCAGAGCTTCTTTCAAGTCTCCCACGCGGGTGCCCATGTACAGGGCCCACGTGCTTGTACTTCTGCTGCTTTCCCAGGGACATTAGCAAGGACCTAGATTGGAAGTGGAGCAGCTGGGTCTCGAACCAGTGCCCATACAGGATGCTGGCATAGCAGGTGGAGGCTTAACCTTGTATGCCACAAGACCAGCCTTGCCTTTACTATTTTTAGGAGGAATTCCACCCCTACCTCCACTTTATATGCAAATATGATGGTGTGAGGCCCCAGCACAGCTTTATCCATTTCTTAGAAATCTTTAAAGTCCAAATTAAAAAAAAAAAAAAAGAATTAAAAATTGTATTTGAGGGGCTGGTGCTATGGCATAGCAGGTAAAGCTGCCACTTGCAGTGCTGGCATCCCATATGGGCACCAGTTGGAGCCCCAGCTGTGCCATTTCCGATCCAGCTCTCTGCTATGCCCTGGGAAAGCAGTAGAAGATGGCCCAAGGCCTTAGGCCCCTACACCTGTGTGGGAGACCCGGAAGAAGCTCCTGGCTTTGGATCAGCGCATTTCCAGCCATTTGGAGAGTGAACCAGCAGATGGAAGACCTCACTCTCTCTTTCTCTCTCTGCCTCAGCCTCTCTGTAACTATGCCTCTCAAATAAATAAATAAATCTTAAAATTTTTTTTTTATTTGAAAAGCAGTTAGAGAGAGAGAAAGGGAGAGAGATATATTTTCTATCTATTTTCTATCTGCTGGTTCACTCCCCAACAGTCCTCGGAGTCTCCCACGTGGGTGCAGGGGCCCAAGCACCTGGGCCATCCTCCACTGCTTTCTCAGGCACATCAGCAGGGAGCCGGAGAGGAAGTGGAGCACCGGGGACTCCCCTGGGTCCATATGGATGCTGGCGTATGCTAGGGGCACAGGCCAGGGTTTTACCTGCTATGCCACAGTGTGGACCACCACACTGTAAACTTCTAACAAGAGTCTTGCCCTGGCCTGTTTCCCTCTTCAGCCCTGTCTTGTCCTGCTACCTCAAGCTCCAGCTTCCTGTACTTCTACAGCACCACCAACTCCCTCATCATGGAATCCTCCCCCGTGCCTAGAGCGCCCATCTCGCTCCCTTTGTTGAGCCTCTCCATCACTGGCATTTTCTACACTGCCCTAACTGCTAGGATCTTTAATCCATCAGGCTGTAATTTCAGAGACAACTTCCTGGGTTGTGGCAGTGGAACGGTGTCCTACGCGACACCCAATGCCACCCGTTATTATGCACAGGTGGGGCTGCCTCTTACGGCAACATCATGTGTCTGCCGCACAGGTGGGGCCTAAAAACGAACTCCAAACCCTAGTTTGTTCCAGTGCAGTCGGCAACTTAACTCAGAGCTGGAGACTGCTCCTCAGCCCGACCCCCGCCTAGAGGCGCCCCCACCCCACCCCCACCCCCGCCCCCAAGCCCGCAATCCTGCAGGACCACTCACGTCTCTGGCGCTGGGTGCAGGTGAGGCCCGGGATGAGCGGGGAAGAGCAGCCACGGCAGAGGGTCCTCTTCACCGAGGGGTCCCTGGGGGCAGAGGCAAAGGTGGTCCGGCCGCCCGCTCCACGGCCCGCGTCCCCCCGCCGCCAGCTGCGCGCCCGTCTCACCGACGCAGGACGAGCCGCTTGGCGATGGTCCGCTCAGTGTGGCAGTAGAATCTGGCCAGCGCCTGGTTCTCGGGGTCCTGCGCAAGGACGCAGTGGGCGGCCTGGGCGGGCGGGGCGGGGTCACCTCGGCGCCGAACGCACGAGGTCCGCGTCCCTCCGCACGCCCTGGCCGGGACTCACCTGGTAGAGGAAGTTGAGCCTCAGGAAGGCCTCGCGGTCCTTGACCGGGCCCGCCATGGGCGCAGTGCCGGCCCTCGTAGGACCGCCTCCAGCCCCGCCCACGGCGCCGCGCGAGGCCTGCTGGGAAGTGTAGTCCCACGGGGCCCGCGCCCCGGCTGGCCGCCCCAGCACCCTGAGTGGGCAATTCCAAGCCCTGAGTCCGTTCTGGAGTTTGGGAGTCCTTCCAGACTTCCGCAAGCCCACGGTTCGACTATCGGAGTGGGAGAGGATCTTAAAAAGTGCTACACATTTTCACGAGAGAGGACCGGTGTCTAAGACAGACAGCCGGGTATACCCAGCTAGACCTGCGCACCAGTCTCCTAAGCCGAAGGCAGACACCTAGATCTGGTGGGACAGAGGCTACATGTCCACACAGCCATAGGGGCCCACGAGCTTTGTGAAGAGGGTGAGGATCGCGAAAACACAACTTACTCTCTTTTCCACCCACCCGGGAAACACACTGTGCTTGTTACACGGTGCTGTTAACACACCAGGTGAGCCCCACTTGTGCCAACAGTTTCCAACCCCTGGCGTATAGCGCGGAAACCTGTCAGCAGCAGCCCCACCCCAGCCCACACCCTGACCTTTCTCTCCCTCCAGTTTCTTCTGTCTGCCATCCCGTTCACCTGATTCTTCACCTGATTCTCGGTGGCCGCCAGCTGCACAACGCAAACATGAGGTGGGCAGGATGTGCATGAGCGGCTAGCACAGGTCAGGAGAGGGTGAGCCGCCTCTCTCCTTTAGGGGCCCCTGCCACCAGGCGACAGAGGACCAGGCCTCCTGCTCAGGGGAAGGAAAGTGGCTGACACTTGGGATGTCTTGCAGGGGTCCTCAGACTCAGGTGAGTTTAATGCCGATGCCTAGGCCCGCACAGGCCCTGACCGAACAAAGAGAGGGGGAGGCCCAGGAGCATGCGTTTTGAACACCCATCAACACAAAGCCATTGCCAAATTACCACACAACACAGAGGTCACTTCAGTGGATCCTTTGTTCCATATAATTTTTACCAACCAGAGTTATCCTGCCACAAAGAACCACAGTCAAGGCACAAAGGTAAGAGGAGGAGAGTGGACACAGTCCTGCTGAGGTGGTAGAACTGAAATGCCCTCGATAAACTGCAGTTTCTTGTCCTGGTCTTCTGTGGAGATTGACCCAAGCAGCAGATAATCCAAGACGTTGTGTTTTGGTTTGGCATGCATTGCTTTCCTTGTTTTTTGTTTCTTTATTTGGATCACTTATGTACCCTACTGGTTGTTTGTTTTGGCCTAACATTAAGATGATTTACATTCTCTGAAAAGGGGAATGGCAAAGGGTGAACGATGGCAACAGACAAGCCAAAGCCTGCCTTGTGTGAACAGCAATACCAGGCCAGACGCACACAGGCCCAAGGAAGTTGCTATCTGGCCTTTTCTTACACACACCGCCCGCTTCTCACCTGTCCTCAGGGTGAGAAAGACTCCATTTACCTTTCTTCCTTTCTGGCTTGGACACTGCCAGCTAACAAGGCTGACAACTTGGGAGCAGCCACTTAGGAACATTCTTTAAGGCCAGAGCTTTGGACAGAGTTACCTCCCTCTGACACCCAACTCTTGCCTCTCCCTGTCCCCTTGGGAGAACAGTGAGAGGGTAGGCGTGTCTCACAGGCTCTCTCCCAACTCGCCTCTGGAGAGGAGTGAGGGCAGTGACTTCTTGGAGACAACCCACCACGAGCAAGCCAGCAGTAAGCCAGCTCTGCGGACGGCTGAGGCGGGAACCTGGGTTCTCCTGTCTTCTCACCTCCTCCTTTTTCCTATACGACTTCTGGCCATTCCTCATCACAATGGCAACCCTAACCTGGGAACAGAAGACTGACTGAATCTCCTTCCCTTTCATTAGTCTCTAGGACTTTTTAGTTTCCTTCCTTGACCTTCCTTCTGTATCCTTCTTGATCCCAGACTCTGCTCTTAAAAAACAAAACAAACAAAAAAAAACCAAAAAACAAAAACAAAAAAACTCAACTTTAGATTCATGACAGCAGCTGTCACTCATCTTCCTTCAATCAAGAGGTGCACAGACCTTTGCAATCCTCCTTAGGAAACAAGACTATTCTGGGTCGAAGAACCCCATGAGAAGATGCCTGGGGGGGTTTCTGCTTCTTCTTCCAGTTTGAGCAAATTAGAACCTCCTGCTGACTCTGTTTCCATAAAAGCCTCTCCTTCCTTTCCAACCCCTCCCTGTGCAACAGAAAACCTGGTGGGCGCCAGGGTCGACGATCCCCTGGGAACCAGCTCCCCATCCTGACCGTCAGGAGGGAGACACAGCTGTGCTCTCACTGCAGCCCGGGCCTGCCCACTCCTGCACACAAAGCATCTTAGAAACCACGGTGTTTCTCTGAGATGATTCACAACTGGAACCAGGCAGACACCAAGACGTTCCCGCAGGCCACAGGAAGGAAGGCCCGTATTCTTGACCCTGCCTCACCCCGATTCCTCCCGCGTCCCAACCTGTCACTCCCAATCTGTTGGAGGCCTGATGGTAAGTGGTGCAGCATTCTTCCGACCGGCCCGTATGCCTGGGTAGAACAGGGGCCAAAGTTTCTCTGTGAAGGTATCGGTGAAGGTGTAGATGTGAGAACGGTCTGTGACGTTATAAAAAGACAGCGTGCCAGCCTCATAGTCTAGGAATATGCCCACCCGTTTGGGTTTCACTTTGATATGCAACGGGGTGAAAGGTGTGGTGGTGGCTGCATATTTGTCCCCATTCCACAGCCGTACCCGCCAGTAGCCAGTCTCAGGGAGTGGAGTCAGCTCGCCCTTTCGGCTCACAGAGTCCCGGCACACACCCACTGCCCAGTGGGTCTTGTCGCCCACCTCCACCTCCCAGTAGTGTCGACCTGAGGTGAAACCTTCAGTAGCCAGGACACAAGGGTAGAAGGTGAAACGCCGTGGTGTGTCGGGGAGATCCCGGAGTCTTGTCTCCACGAACTTGACGCTCTTACGGTCTTCTGATAGGACTAGGTTAGGATGAGCAGTCTCGGGGTCCAGGGTCACATCCGCTGGCGGGAGAAGCCAGAGTGGGGAGCTAGATGAGGATGGGAATAGCTAAATGTCCCTGCCTCACTTTTCCAGCCTGCCTCTACAGAGCCTGGTCCCTTAAAAGTTACCTCTCTAACCCAGGGCGTCTCCTGAGGGAGGGGAGAATGAAGGCTACCCTTCTCATCCCGACCCTGCAGGGACCACTCTAAGGTTCCCACTCTCCCTGTCACCCTCCGACATCATCATCTATTGCTCTGTACAGAGAGGTGCAAGGCATGGTCTGAGGGCCAGGAAGGAAAGTGTTATGTTAAGAAAGATACAGAGCAAGACAGCACTATGGTCTACGAATAGGGTGAGGTGTATGTGTTTTCCCAGAGCTGTCCTGGTTAATGACCACTTTCCTTGCATGAATATTAAGGACACATCCTTTCACTATTCAGCTCATCCTAGCTTTAGACGGCCACCCTATCTAACAACCTGGGCAAACTATTTAACCTTTCCAAGTCTCTAGAAAAGTGTGGATCTCAGAGTAGGTGATACCTAAGGCTTCTTCTCATTTTGAGTTCTGTGACTCAGGGTGACATTCAAAGTTGGGTGAAGATGGGTGTGTGAATGAAGAGAGACGGGATAACTGAAGCCCACATAAAGTAGGGTCTGAAGACTTTGTTCTCTCTGGCAATTCCCTCTGCTAATTTCCTTTTGGGAACAACTCACCAATTAGCTGTTTAAGGATTTTCCTTAGGGCAAAATACTGTCGGGGAAAATTGCTGAAGTTCTTTTCCAGCTCTATAGATACTGAAGTCACTTCCATGGTCTTCACCTTCTCACATCTAGGAGGGGATGGGGAGATTAAGGGCAAGGTTAGGGGAAGCTGAAGCCAGGCGGCTATCAGATGTTGTCATCTTTAGGGAGAAACTAAAACTCCATCTTCCCACTTTCCCCTCCTCCCTGAAGACAACTGCTTCCTTTCGCCAATCCACAGAGAGCCACTGGTTCCCGGGACAGATTCTTATGTTGACAAGGTCAGTGGTGGGTGGGTGGGGGGAAGGGGTGTGTCTTATATTTCATGCCCATGGGTAAGCCCATTGGCTCCGCCAACCCGTTCCTCCTGCCATCTTGCTTGGACGTAATTTACCAATAGACGCAAGGAGAACCTGTTTCTATGTTATCATTCTTCTTACTGAGGAAGTCCTGATGCTCAAAGGGGAAAATGGATTATTAGTCCTGATGATCTGTTCCCTAACTGGTTTCTTGGACCTTCTCCCATATCCTGCCCAGCCTGTATGACTTTCCCCTCATTATTCCCCCAACTCCTTACTGAACTCCCAGCATCTAAGACAAGCCCTAACTCACTCAAAGAGATTTAAGAATCACTTACTTTTCCAGGGTATTTTTGACATCCTAGAGGGAAGGAGAAAAGAAAGCAATATTGGTCCTGGTATTCAAGGGTCCTGAAGGCAAAAGGTTTCCCCTCCTCCCCAAAGCTCTAGATCTCTAAAAAGGCCCAGAGAATACTGAGGGTCCCAGTGCAGGGCGAAGAGTTCCAGGGGCATCCGAGCTTCTCTCCCAACTGGATCCCCATTTTCAACTTTTGGTCATTGTGGAGCTTGATAATTTGAATCACTTCCAAATGGTTTCTTGGTGTTTGTCTTTGCTCCTCAGGCTCACTGGGAGCTCCCTGCAAGGGACAGGGATTGTGTCTGCTCTTCACTCTGTGCCCCAAGTACCAACCACACACTGTGTCTCCCTGAGGATCTCAGGACAGAGAATTCTGACTGGCAGCACAAAACAAACCACTCTTTCCTGTTGTGGTTTGGTATTCCCTAGCCAGCACTGGTTAATGAACATTAACAACTGCGTGCCAATCCTAATTTGAGAATACTTGGGGTCCAGAAGACAAAGAAGACAAATCTCTGCCCCTTAAGGATTTTCCAGTTTAATGTGGAAAGCAGAACACACAGACATGAAGAACACGGGAATAATAAATACCGAGCAATACACAACATGCATATAAATGTACAATGAAGCCTCAATGATTCAAATGCTGGTAATCTGATATCTAAGATAAAAAGTATGTCCCCTACAGCCTGGCTAATACGATTTATCTGTTTAAGAGAATAACACTACTTCAAACATTTTAGAGGCATCATTGGTATATCAAAAGCAAGGTATTCTTTACAAGTATCCTTTAAGCTATGTTTCTGTTCTTCAGCACTAGGTGATTCAAAATCCAGGACTTAAAAGTAACTGGTTTCACAAAATTTCTAATGCATAGTTTTTTTTTTTTAACTTATTCAGACTATGACTTTTGTCCTTTCAAAAAGTGATTTTTTTCCCCCTTGGGTACAAATTAAGTACATAATTGTTGACAGGACATAAGACCATGATTAGAAAGGATGGGAGAGATCAGAGGACTTTCTGTAGGAAGAGATCCTTGTATGTCTGGAAGGAAAGACTGGATCTAGGGAAGCAGAGTGGAAGAGCGAGCCTCCCAGGCTGACATACTGGCTGTGCGAAGCTATACTGTGCACGACCTGAGGGGCTATGCAGGGGCAACGGTCGAACCTTAAGCATCTCGAAGCCCGACTGTAAGCACTTGCCCTCCACCTCTGCAGCCAGGTGGGCGAGGTCCCGGCGCTTGTCCCCAAGGTGAGCAGCATTTTCTCGTAGTCGCTGGAGAATGTCCTGTTCCTCCTCCTCCAGTCGTGCAAACAGCATCTGCTGCTCCTCATCCAGCCGCCTGTGCAGCTCTTCAAACTCCCGCAGGATCTGCTGCCGGCGACTCTCCACCAGTCTCTAGGGAGAGAGGGAAGACGCTATGTCAGCAGGGCTGGCAGGGCAGGGGGAGGCCCCTTGCCCACCATGTGTGCACCTCAGCAGAGACTTCCAGAGTCACTGACAACCATTACACAGGACACCCCTCTTTCTCTTGGGTGCAATTTCCTTCTGGAAAGAATGACTCCATCCCTGCCACGCCCACTGAAAACTTGACAGTGAAAAACATGGGGAGGTTAAAAAAAATCAACGTTTAAAAGTATTTTCATTTTCTTCATGATCTAAAATAGTAGTACTTTTATGTTTTACTAAAATATATTCACATAAGTACTCAATATGACAATGTCTGCTATTATAGATATTAGAGATATTTCTGCTACCCCCAACTGCTGAATTTCTCATCAAGAACATGAAGGAACAAATCCTGGAAAGCTAAATTGTCATCATTTGTATATTGCAAGGCATTTAAGAGGAAAAAAAAAACCAGAAAATCAATCGGAAAAGTATCAGAATCAGTAAGTTTAATAATGAGAGGTTATGAAATACAGATGCAGATTTCAGGGCTAAACCTGTTAAACAGTTTCGATTCATTTCAAAGAATTGGCAGTTCCCGTCCTGGAACAGGTTCCAAAAGTTGGTGAATTAGTTGCTTTCTCTACACCGGCACATGCAAGTACACCTCTAGCATTCCTGAAATTTGGTATCATCCTCAAACACCAGCCACGGCACTTTGCAAGGGTTATCAGCAATCCTCTCTTCTGCGTATTCACAAGAGTATGCGCCGAGTGTCCTGTGACTGGGGGGAGGTACCAACCCAAGAGCCAAGCAAAGTGGGCAGCCAGACTGGGCCTGTGGAAAGAGGAAGTGGACAGGGCCTGAAGGCAGGGCTAAGTGGAGGAGGGGGGACGAACGCCAGGGTGGGCTTCACAAGCCTGGCACGTCTGATGTCCACGCAGTTTCCGGCAGAGGCTGACTACCTATGTGCTTCCACGGCTGCCTGCGCAGGTGCACGCTGCAGCTGAATGTCCTTTCTCATTTGCTCTGACGGCATGCATGCGTGTCGGCATGTGTGAGCGTAGGGGTGACATATGGGTAGATGTTCAGGATTCATGACCACGGAACACAGGAAGCAAAAAGGCTCCCCTTATTAGAAACTCATAACCCCTTCTCCTTGTTTACTCCATATTTGTTCTTAATGAGCTGTTATTTCCGTGAATGCATTTTGGAAATGGGAGAATTTTTAATAAAAGAGGGCAGAGTGACAGAGAGGGAGGGAGACACAGAGAATTAAATGAAGCTGGTTCTCTCTCCAGACGCCTGTCACAGCTGAGGCTAGGAGGCCAGGTCAAAGCCAGAATCAGCAACTTCATCAGGGTCTCCCACCTGAGTAGCAGGAACCTAAGTACTTGGGTCACCACCTGCTGCCTCCCGGGCACATTGTTCCAGGTGGCAGGCTAACCTGCTATGCCACAACACCTGCACTGGGCACTTGTGGCAAGGCTGCTGGCACTCCTTCAGTGTGTGAGACAACCCTGCACAGTGACCTGTCTTGTACCATTTTCAATGTATTGTCCTTTAATGGAAATATTTTTGTGTGTGTAAAAAATGCAGGCTTGGACTTGAACATCATTTTTGTATTTCACAGAGTAATTCTTAGCACAGTTTAATACACTGGAATTATGGTCCCTAAATACAACTTACTAAGACTATATTCTGTTCTTAGAACTTTATGCAATGTAATTATTTTGCAAAATCATGTTACCAAGAGCTTGGCTGCTTGGGGGGCCTGGTCAGATTTTTTCTTTTTTTTTTTTTTAAATCCTGCTGCTCAGGCCACACTCAGTGTGGGGTCTAGCAGTAGGAGGTTTTTTTTTTTCTTTATATATATATATATTTATTTTTTGACAGGCAGAGTGGACAGTGAGAGAGAGAGACAGAGAGAAAGGTCTTCCTTTGCCGTTGGTTCACCCTCCAATGACCGCGCTGATCTGATGGCAGGAGCCAGGTACTTATCCTGGTCTCCCATGGGGTGCAGGGCCCAAGCACTTGGGCCATCCTCCACTGCACTCCCTGGCCACAGCAGAGAGCTGGCCTGGAAGAGGGGCAACCGGGACAGAATCCGGCGCCCCGACCGGGACTAGAACCCGGTGTGCCGGCGCCACAAGGCGGAGGATTAGCCTAGTGAGCCGTGGCACCGGCTAGATTTTCTATTTATTGCATTGCTGATGATGCCACATATGGGTTCAAGTATATAACTGCACCACAGGATCTCCTGGGTATTCCTGCCCCAAATATGTACACACCAGATTTTATCATAAGTTACTTTTATGCTGTATGACATTATATTTGGACTTGTCAGTTTCTTCAAAATTACATAGATAGGTTATTTATAATTTTTCATTTCAGCAGTTAACCACAAACTTTGGAAAAGAGGACTGAGGCAAAGAGGTGGGTGGGGCTGAGGGACAAGGTGGCAGAATTTAAATGGTCTCAAAAGCAATGTTGGTGGCCATTTCAAGGACCACTGAGGCGATAGTTTGCAATCTAAAAAAACGGGCAGCATTACAGCTAGGTGGGTTTAGCTGCCACCTGGAGATTCCAGCATCCCACATGGGAGTCCCTGGGATGGAAGCACTTGCCTCTACTTCTGGTCCAGCTCCCTGCTAATGTGCATTCTGAGAGAGAGCAGATGATGGCCTAAGTATTTGGGTCCCTCACCCAGATGGAGTTCCTGGCTCTTGCCTTTCACCTGGCCCATGCCCCAGCTGTTGTGAGCATTAGGGGAGTGAATCAGCGGATGGAAGAGGTCATGGACACTCTCTCACTCTTGCTCGCTCGCTCTCTTTGGGTCTCTCCTCCTCTGTCACTCTTTCAAATAAATAAAAAGCTTTAAAAAAAAGTTCAAAATAAATAACACTACAGTTCTGGTTTAAGTATTTAGAAGATTTTTTTAAAAAAATTCTACTTCCACATCCATCTTTTACCTTTAAGAAGGTGATCAGCAGGAAGAGGAAAATTAATGACTGGGAATAAGCTTCAGTTTCATTTGTTTTAATTTTCTCAGGAGTCCTCCAAAAGAACAAAGAACTTTTTTTAAAGTTCACTTCTACGACCAAAATTAGTTCAAAGCTTTAAAATCTCACATGCATGCTTTGTTGAAACGTATGAAGCACTAAGGCCACAAGACTTGTTCTCTGTGGAAATGCCATTCTTTAGTAAAACACTCACATTCGCTTTCCAGCGCTCTCTAAATGTCAACTCCTAATCCTCATCACTTCTTCTGGAAACTTTTAATTAGGTTATCTTCTCAGGAGCTTATGGCTGTGCTTTCTGTGCCATGTCACTGTCTATCTTCTGCACTGACTTTAAGCTCACGGAGGGCAAGGACCATGATCTGGTTCATCCCTGTTTGGCCTTTCCCAGGAGCTGAATAAATATTTAGTGATTCATGAAGAACCAGTATCCCTGGTTTTGCCACTTACTGGCCATATGGTCTTGGGCTAGACAGTTATCCAAGTTCTGTTTCTTGTGTGAACTGGGGTGACAGCACTGATATCACAGAATATCTAAGTTTACCCTCACCTTGTAGCTTCCTCCATGTCCCATTATCCCAGGTCTGTCCTGTTCAATCTGGGCAACTCTCTAAGATCTAGAACCATCCTGTAAATTTGAAACGTCATGGACACCTAATGAATCAATGCATAGGAGTCAATATTAGTTGATATTTTTGCTACTACTAATAATTATTCAGTGTCCAACAGGAATAACCAAAATATCATGCTACCAATAAAGCAATGCTTTGAAACAGATGCAAAATTATGTAAAAAATAAGAGTTAATTTTGAAGGGCCAGGAAAGGCTACAGAAGTGGCTTTCACTCTGCCTAAAGATGGACAGGATCCTACCCCTGGAGAAAGACATTCTAGCACTGAACCAACATCTTCTAACAGATTTGCACTTTAATTACAAGAATGTGGTCCTAATGCCACTGGGAGCTCTTGGTCAGTTCCACCTCTTCCTCCCCAGTGAACTTTCTGTTTTCCGCTCCTCAGCCCCTCCAAGAAACCCCTGTCCCTGCATTTGTAGTAGATGGCTTCCTTCCTTACTTAGAAAAAAAAAAAAAAAACAAACAAAAAACCAACAAGATCAGTGGGCATGAACTATGAACTCATGACAAGCAATTTAACTATAATGTTTACTGGAAGTACAATCAAAGCCCAATAAAATGCTCTCATTTTTTGTGTGAACAGAATTTTTCAATGCCCCAGAACTGGTGGATGAAACACTGTGTGGCTCGTCTCCTTGTGGGCAGCTATCCTGCAGAGCAGCCAGGTGGGCCTGCGGCCTGCCTCTACCTTGAGCTCCCCCGGCTTCTTCTCCTCAGAGGACTTGCAGCGGGTGATTTCCTGCAGTTTCTGCTCCAGGGGCTCCAGGCACTTCTGCAGTTTTTCCTGGAGGGTGGAGAAGGAGCGAGAGAGGTGATATCTGGGGTCGGATATTATTCAGAGGTTAACTCATTTGTTTGCTCCCTGTCCACCTTCCATTCTTTCTCCCTGCCTGTCATTTGAGTGTTAACTGCCTACTACTGATTGTTCTTCCTGCCCCCAACCTATCTCCACCATCTTTCCTGATCACTCAACTTCCCTCTCGCTGATCTATGACAGGCGTCCACCTGTCACCACCTCTATGTCCTTCCCCAACTCTGTCCATTTTATTACTCAGGCAATTGCCTATTAGAGTTGAGGATCCCTTTTGTACGCTGATACCTTTCTTTACCTCTGTCTTCCCACCCAAATCTAACCATCTACAAATACAAGACACTCCATTACTTATACTGTCAATTACGTGAAATCTGATTCCCAAGATTTCATTAACATTAAGCAAAGTATGTGACAGAGTGGTAAGACATTAAAATCTCTAGTTCCTATTACTCAAACAGGTATCCCATGCCCCAGCAGTGAGTTAAACCAGATGCCACGTTCACTATCTGGGAGATGTGAATGACAGACTGGTTCAGCTTAGTCTGGTGATTTTATTAGTCCCAGCAGATGTCACCTACTCCCAGTATCAATGGAAAACAAACAGCATTCCGAGCAGGGTGGCAGCACGAAGAAACCAGATTTCTTTTTGGTTTTTCTTAAGTCTGATCTTTCTGACTGGTTTCATGCATTTATGAAAAATATGGCATATTCCAAAACCACATATACTGACATTTACCCGTACAACTCAAATGCGTGGCAAAACTTGGAAAGAAATTTTGGGGTCCTTCTCAAAACTGCTCTGCATGTAAAGGACGACTGACCAGACACTTAAAAAAGCTAACATACAACCCCCAGTCTGTTGTCTCTCCTCTGCAAACTCTTATTAGAAATAGGGGCCAGCACTGTGGTGTAGTGGGCAAAGCTGCCACCTGCAGTGCCAGCATCTCCCATATGGGCGCTGGTTCGAGACCCGGATGCTCCACTTCTGATCCAGCTCTCTGCTGCGGCCTGGGAAAGCAGTAGATGGCCCAAGTCCTTGGGCCCCTGCACCCACGTGGGAGACCCAGAAGAAGCTCCTGGCTCCTGGCTCAGATTGGACCAGCTCCGGCTGTTGTGGCCAGCTGGGGAGTGAACCAGTGGATGGAAGACCTCTCTCTCTCTGCCTCTCTGTAGCTCTGCCTTAAAATAATCAATCAATCTTAAAAACAAAAACAAAAAAAGGAAACAGGGCTCCCTGTAACTACTGTCCAGCCTGCTCCTCCTAATAACCCACGCTTCTTGAATCTCAGGACCAGCAGTTGCAGACCCACGTATCCTGGGTATGTAGCTCCAAGGGGAGGGGCAGACACAACCTTGCCCCCAGAAGTGTACAGCTCTCTCCGCAGGGAGGGTCTCACTCTGACACTTCCCTTCCTTTCCCTGTTTCGGCATCAGGTCCGGCTGCCCACCTTGTACTCCTGGGTGGCGTCATCCAGCGGCACAACAGTGTGGGCCCGGTGTGTGTGGGAAATTGCACATATCAAACACACGGCCTCCTGGTCCTCATAGCAGAAAAGGCTGAGGGCCTCATGGTGCTGGGGGCAGAGGCTCTCATCCCGGATCTTCCGCTTGACGGCCTGGAGCTGCTTCGCAATTTCGACCATACTGCCTAGCTGCCGATTGGGCCGCAGACTGCGGTAGCGCGAGGTTTTCCGACACACGGGACAAGGGAAGTCCCTCTCTAGGTCCTCCCACCAGCGGGTAATGCAAGCTTTGCAGAAGTTGTGTCCGCACTCGATGATGACCGGGTCCTTCAGGTACTCCAGGCACACAGAGCAGCTTGCTTCGACCTGCAAGTTCTCCAGAGCTGCAGCTGTGGAGGCTGCAGAGGTCCCGGCCTCCAGCAGACTTGTCTCTGCCATTATTTGACTTGTGGATGCGAAGCCGACAGAGAGAAGAAACATATTAGCTGGAGGTTTAACTTTTTTTTGCATCCCCTACCTTACATCTGCCCTCAGGTTAAAAACTGACTCCAGATTTAGCCCTTTCTATGCAACATCTTCTCCTAAAATTAGCCTTTTGTTTCTCTATTTCTAAAACTCCCAGTCATCAACTTATTTTTTTTTTTTTCTCTTTAGAAAACTGACACAACTCCCGGTGTCTCTTGTCTCTTACCTCTGTATTCTTTCCAGAGACAGAGCTTCCCTTTAATTATAGCCCATCAGACTTGAATCTTAGAACTAATAGCTCCAGTCCAACATATCCCAGTGTGACACATCTTTTCTAACAGATGAGAGGAGTTTCTAGAGTGAAAACTGTCATTTAAATTCAAAGTCTTAATGAAGACTTTTTTTTTTTTTTTTTTTTTTTTTTGACAGGCAGAGTGGACAGTGAGAGAGAGAGACAGGGAGAAAGGGCTTCCTTTGCCGTTGGTTCACCCTCCAATGGCCGCCGCAGCCAGCACACTGCAGCCGGCGCACCACACCTATCCAAAGGCAGGAGCCAGGTGCTTCTCCTGGTCTCCCATGGGGTGCAGGGCCCAGGCACTTGGGCCATCCTCCACTGCACTCCCTGGCCACAGCAGAGAGCTGGCCTGGAAGAGGGGCAACTGGGACAGAACCCGGTGTGCCGGCGCCAGTGCCGCAAGGTGGAGGATTAGCCTATTGAGCCCCGGAGCCGGCCATGAAGACTTCTTAAGTTATGTATATTTTAGAGTTTAATGTTACAGAAGTATTTCATAATAGTCCACTGGAGCCCAAGCTTGATTCTTTGCCACTCTCACGGGGTAATAAATTTAATGAGGCAAATGTGGCAATCTCCTTTTTTCAGGAAAATTTGAAATCATTCTTTTGTCAGACAAGCCCAGAGGAAGTGTGCTCCCTCTTGAAATGTTTCACACATCTCATTGCTATCTGTTTGAATTTGGAATCTGCAACTCCATGAGGTGTATGTTACTGAGTCCAGACCTATACGTTCTTGAAACGAGAGCTGACAAGTCTGAATATTCAGCGGGGACTGGAGCCTTTCAAAGTAGCTACTGAGGGGCTGGTGCTGTGGCGAAGCGGGTAAAGCTGCTGCCTGCAGTGCCAGCATCCCATATGGGGGTTAGTTCAAGTCCTGGCTGCTCCACTTCCAATCCAGCTCTCTGCTGTGGCCTGAGAAAGCAGTAGAAGATGGCCCAAGTAGTCCTTGGGCCCCTGCAGCTGAGTGGGACTGGGAAGAAGCTCCTGGCTCCTGATTGGCCCAGGTTTGGCTGTCATGACCATCTGGGGAGTGAACCAGCGGATGGGAGACTTTTTCTCTCTGTCTCTCCGTAACTCTGCCTTTCAAATAAATAAAAATAAATCTTTAAAACAAATAGCTACTGATAACTACTTCTTTTGAAGTGGTTAGGAATTAGAGGGGAAAAGAGGCAATCAAGTGATTGCATCCGGGAGATTTACCCCAACAGAAAGCTGCTCCATTCTAGACTTAAGACGGCAACATTTTCATCTACAGGTAAGTTGGTTTCCCTACACCCATAATCCTTTCTACATCCCCCCCAGGCCCCACCCTAAGGGACTTAAGAAATTGGGTAGGCCTGTCTGCTGAGAGAAGTGGCCCTGTAATGGGTTAGGTTAACGATTTTTTCCTGCCTATGCTGATGATAAAAAGTGCTTAATTTGGAGTGGAAGCTGGTAACTTATTTGCACCTGAACTTCCTCCCTCCACATGGGGGCGGGGGGAAGTTCCATCAGATTTTTTTTTCTCTACCTACGAGAACGCGACTTTGACCAGTGACCCTGCCCCTTCCCCAGTCTTCGAGAAATTCTGTAGCCTCCTCACCTGTGAAGAGCTGAATTGTATGCACAGTTAGGGACCAGGATGGATCTACACGGGCCAAGAAGTGATGCGAACGAAAAACGGGCAAACGGGTAGGGAAAAATGGAGCCGACTCGGAGCTACAGCCGCAGTGAGGCCTTGGATGCCTCTGAGCATCCTTCCTCTCCCTCCATTCCTCGTGTCTCCGTACAAGGGCAAACTTCAGGGACGTCCGCTTTTCGCGTCCATCGCCGTTCCAGGTCCCACCTGGCGTCCCTCTCCCGAGCGGCGTCCGAAACTCCGTCCCCCCCGCGTCTCCATCTTCTCCCGCCAGATCTCGGGCAGGGGCATCGGCCAGGAGCGGAGAGGAGACGTCGTGGTCGGCGTGGCAGGGAGGGACGCGTGTCCAGGTGAGGAAGAGGTGTGGCGTGGAGGTGGGATGCTGGCCGCTAGGACGCAGCCGAGTTGCGCCCGGGAAGGCGAGAGGCAGCGGGCCGGGGGAACCGCGGGGTAGCCAAGCAACGCCGGACGCGCTGACGTCGCCGGGGCGGCCGGGCGCCCGCCCGGGCCCAGGCGGGCGGAGGCGCGGGGGGCCGGTGACGCAGTCGCGGGGCGCTGGGACGCGGCGTGCGGAGCTGGCCGGCGGGCGCAGGCCCCCGGCCCCCGGCGCGGCGGCGGGGCGGCACCTACCTTCCCGGCTTGCGGGTCCGGGAGTGCGGGGCGCCGAGCCGCCGGAGCGCTTCCTGCCTCCTGCCTCCTCCCCGCGCCCCCGCCCCGCGGCGCGACACACAATACTCGCCGGAAGCGGAAGCCGCTGCGCTCCGGGACGCGAGTCAGCGCCGGTGTCTGGGGGTCGGCGGGCGGCTGCGGGAGGGCCTGGCGGGGCCGGCGCGGAGCACCGGCGGGCGGAGTCCGCGGCACGGAGCCCCCCGCGGCGGCGGCAGGTGGCTGAGGCGGCGGCGGCCGGGTGACCCGGGGAGCCCTTCGCGGGACGAGGGCTGCGCATGCGCGCGGTGCGGCGCCGAGAGCCCATGGCCCGCGGGGTGGCCCGCGCTGCTGTGCGGTCGGGGGCTGCGGGCCCGGGCTGTGCGGGGGCTGTGCGGGTCTGGGAGTCGCCGAGGCGGGCCGTCGGCTTTCAGCCACGCTTTTCCCTCTCTTCGGGCGGCTCGCGGGGAGACGGCGGCTCGCGGAGGCTGCGGCCAGTTACGTGGCGGCCCCGCAGGTCTCCGCCGCACGTCACTTCCGACCGGTCGAGGTGTAGCCTTTGACTGGTGCGAGGGTTAGGTGAGTTCTCGCCGCCGCGGCGGGCCTCACCGGCTGCTTGCCCTGGCCCTGCCTGCGAGCCCTTTGGACATTCTCCCCCTCCCTCCCCGGGGCGGCGGCCTCGCGAGCTGGCGCCGCGACTCCGCTACTGGCCTTGCGGTCGGGTAAACACTGGCTAAACAAACCGGGGGACAGCCAAGGAGCCTGCTTTGCGCCTTTGGAGCCGGGACCTTCGCGTCTCTCCGTGGTGCTTGTGTGGGGACTTGAGGGTTTTGTTTCATCGTCCCCTGCTCGCCTGCTGCTGGACGCTTTGCAGATGTGCGAGTTTGCAGGGAGGGGGAAGTGAGGTGATGAGTCCGGCCAAGGGACTGGTCAGGGAGGGGTCATGGGACTGGCAGGGCTGTGACCCTGCGGGTAGAACGGGTAGCTCGCCTCCCTCCTGGCCCCCAACACGAGGCATACAGAATGGTGATTGAACGAGATGAGAGGAAGTGGTCTGACACCATGCGGGATTTAAATTCTCATCCCGGGCGCCAGGGACTCTCTTTCTGCAGGAAATGCGATCAAGCATCGGAGAGTTAAGCTGAAGTTTGCAACTCCTGCAGTCCAGGTTGGAGCCCCAGCGTTGGATTCGTTCTGATCCAGCTCCCTGAAAATGTGCCTGGAAAAGCAGAAAGAGATGGCCCAGTCCCTGACCCCTCCCACCCATGTGGGAGAGACTGGGATAGAGTTCCAGGATCCTGGCTTTCCATCGGCTCCGACCCAGCCTTTGAGGCCACTGGGGGGTTTGACCCAGCAGATGGAAGATCCCTTTCTCTGCCCCGCCTTCCCTCTGTGTCAAAATGTTGCAGGAGTTGCAACAAAATGTTACAGGTTGTCAGTGTTGAAGGAATGGCAGTGGGCGTGTGCCTCTTCAATGGCTTGGTAGGTGTCTTGCCCAAGAAATGTGGCAGATTCTTCATTTTGCTGGATTCTTCTTCTTTTTTTAAGATTTATTTTCCTATTCGAGTGGCAGAATTACAGAGAGAGAGAGAAAAAGGAAGAGGTTTGCTCCCCAAATGGCAGCAACGGCCAGAGCTGGTCCCACGCAAAGCCAGGGCCCAAGCACTTGGGCCATCTTGCACTGCTTTCCCAGGCCCCAGCAGAGAGCTGGGTGGGAGGATGAGCACCCGGGACAGAAGCGGCGCTGCAGGCAGAGACTTGACCTGTTCCGCCGCAGTGCGGGCGCCTGACTGGGTTCTTCAGACGTGTCAGGGTTCGCCTAGTACAGCTCTCTGTGTTGTAACTCTTCGTGTTGCAGCTCTCTGTGTTACAGCCTCTCCTCTGCAGCTGGGTCACTGCTTGTCTCTGCAGGATGTGTCAAGTGTTGCAGTCTTCTGTGTTACAGCTTCTCTCTGCTGGGTTGTTAGTCTTGTGACCATAAAGAACGAGGCACGTGGACAAAGAAGAGTGAGGCAAGAAGCTTTATTGAAAGAAGCAGAGAAACTTGTGTGGCAGCCAGGACGGCCTGCCCTATAAGGGGCTGCCTGCCTTGGGCAGCCATATTTCTGATTTTTGTCTATATTCTAATTCTCTCATCTCTTTCTTGCACTAACATCATAGATTTTCTTTTGTTGACTTCATAGTATTTTCTGAAAGCTAACAAGTCAGATATCTCCATTGTAATTTTTTATGCTTGTTTTTGGGCATGTATATTGTGTAAACTCTGAAATTCCCCCCCTCCTTTTTTTTTTTACTATATTCTCAAAGGAAAAGCCACTATTGTGATTCTAAGTGGGAAAGTATTAAGTAAATAATTTGGGTGGAGTTGGCATTTTTTTAAAAAAGATTTTTTAAATTTATTTGAAAGGGAGAGTTACAGAGAGAAAGATCTTCCATCTGCTGGTTCACTCCCCAAATGGTTGCAATGACTAGAGCTGGGCTGATGTGAAGCCAGGAGCTTCTTCCAGATCTCCCACGTGGGTGCAGGAGCCCAAGGAGTTGGACCATCTTCTGCTTTCCCAGGTGCATTAGCAGGGAGCTGTATCACAAGTGGAGTAGCCAGAACCCTAACTATTGCCCATATGGGGTGCTGGTGCCACAGGTGACGGCTTTACCTGCTATGTCACAACGCCAGCATTTTTAATATTGTCTTCCCATCCAAGAATGGTTTGCATTGTTCAGTTCTTATTCAATAAGATTTTACAAATTTTTCCATATAGACTCTTATCATTTTTGTTTAACTTACATTCATGATAAATGTGGGATGAGTTCTCCACATTTAGGATCCCTGTCCCTTTCCTGTAGTGATGATCAATGAAAATTTTTTTCCGGGGGCCAGTGCTGTGGCCTAGTAAAGCTAAGCCTGCACCTGCAGTGCTGGCATCCCATAGGGGTACTGGTTCTAGTCCCAGCTGCTCCACTTCCAATCCAGCTCTCTGCTACGTCCTGGGAAAGCTGTGGAAGATGGCCCAAGTCCTTGGGCCCTTGCACCTGCGTGGGAGACCCAGAAGAAGCTCCTGGCCCCTGGCTTCTGGCTGTGGATTGGCCCAGTGCTGCCATTGCGGCCATTTGGGGAGTGAACCAGCAGATGGAAGGCCTTTCTGTCTCTCCCTCTCTGCCTGTAACTCCACCTCTCAAATCAAGCAGCGGGAGGAGGAATTTTCATTTTACTTCACAGCCTCTTGGCTATGAAACGTGGAGGAAGAGGGTGGGGACGCAGCTTCACAGGGAGAGCAGGCGCAGGAGCAGGCTTGGCAGCCGCTCAGTGTTCCACTGCCGTGCTTTTCTGCCCCTTGTTCTAGAGCCTCTGCTGTTGTATCACACTGATCTTCTAGCACGTCATGATTTTCTGAGTTGTTCTCTTCCTTTTTCCTCAGCATGTTTCAGTCTTTAATTAACTCATTTATGAAGAGGGTAAGCCACTAACTTTTCAAAAGATAATTTTCATAGTGTCATTTACGGTCCTAAATGTGGATAGACAGATCCTGAGTGTGCATTTTGTTGCTCGTTAATTGAAAGTTGAATTCTCATGTATGGAAGAGATTACTTCTGTTTGTCACTAGCAAGGAGAGGAAACTTGTCTCTGTGCCAATCACTTATTTGTTGGGATTTTAGGGGAGCAATAGATAACATCCCTTTTTCTCCCTGCCACTTTAGAACTAGAAGGAGATACAGGAGTCAAGACAGAGTAGAATATCACCTGCTTTGTGAGACTATGATCTGAGGAAATAGCCAGAAACCGCTCATTGACCTGTTTGCTTCCCCTTGAATGGAGCTTGCACCAGCCCTCTCCCCAGCCCCATCAGAACTTGCCATCAAGCCCCCGTATGGCTGGGGATGCAGGAGAAATGCAGATTTGAAGAGAAAAAGGGTAAGGAGCCAGGCCAAAATTTTTTTCCTTAAAGATTTATTTATGAGGCTTGTCCTGCAAGGCCACACTGTCGGCAAGAGCAGGGTGATGGTGTTCTTCCCATGGGAAGCATGGGGACAGGCTTCAGTAACATGTCCAACTTTATTCACAGCCACGTACACTGTTAAAGGGCAGGCAGAAGGGGCGTAACTAACTCGGGACAGAACTGACACTGGTGCCGATATGACTCTCTAATCAGCTTGAAGGTAGCTCTCCTGGTGGACCTGTGCCATACCCGGTAGCAGTTTACCTGATTGGCAGAAGGCAGAGGTGGGGTGAAATGTGCCTGGGGGTCCTGCCGCCTGCCAGCAGTCAGGCTAACTGCATGGGCTAGGCAGGCAGCCTCACAGGATCACCCAGTTCTTTACTCGAAAGGCAGAGAGTTACAGAGAGGTAGAGGTGGAAAGAAAGAGGTCTTCCATCCACTGGTTTACTCCCTAAATTGCTTCAATGGCCAGAGCTGCATCGATCCAAAGCCAGGAGCCAGGAGCTGCTTCTGGGTCTCCTATGTGGGTGCA